TGACATACCGGCTACCAGTCCAGTACCACCCAATATGGCTTGTTAGTAACGGGGGGCGCGGGGGGGGCAGCAGATCGAGGCCCCACAGTGAGCAGCCCACATCCGTCCCATGCAGAAACCTGGGGGGGGTGGTACATGCTGCTCATGTCTTCCCTGGGCCTGTGTGCACTGGTGGGGAGTCACCTCCCCAACGCCCTCTGCACAAGCTGCCCATGGCTCATTTCTGCTCTGCAGCCTGCTGGTTTAACCAGAGTAAAACGGTTATTGGATCGGCATCAGCCAATATGGTTGGTTAATAATCAGGTATTGGTATTGGCCAAAAAAATCTTCATGAGTGCATGCTTAATATTTGTTGCTACACTCCTTGTTTCTCAGTAATGTAGTAGGAAGTTCCTTGAATCTTTTATTACCTTGGCCTTGTGGTCCTGTTCACTGTAGGGAATTGTATTGGGAGAATCTGACTTCCCAAGGTTACTAACTAATAGAATGGGATATGCTTGTGTGAGGGAGTTCATATTTAAAATAAAAATTAATTCAAAACCCCTGGAGACATCTCCATGCAGACTGGTTTATTTGCTTACTGTTGGTCTTCCACATCATCTAAGGAGGTATACAGAAGGCAATTTTAAGGTAACGTCTCAGGTCCTCCAGCCCCCATTATGATCCTTTCTAACACAATACCTATTGGCAGACGTGTTGAAGAAGGGTCATTTGGGTCAGATGGTTGTGATTTTGTCGAGATTCTTAGTTTTCAGACCTAAGGTTAGTGGTAAGTTTCTTGTGGATGCTTTCTTGAATCCTGAACTTGCTTTCTCAGGGGCTTGTTCTTTTCAGTCACATTCATTCAGGCTGGTTGAGAGGTTTGGAAACTTTCTCACTATTTATCACCAGGTTGGCAAGCCTTTTCATGAGCTTGTGAAATGTTGCTTGCCTATAGCATCCATTGCTTTCTAGGCATTTGAACTTGGATCTCTTTTCCCAAGGTTTATAAGGCAGGAACTTCAGTCATTTTCCATAAGTTCTCATATTTACCAGCATGCTCTGGTTTCTCTTTAGATCATTTAAAACTGCTGCTTTTGATGAAATATTTATGACAAGAGGGGCACTTAATTTTTTTTTCCTGCAGCTGCCCTGGTTCTTTCCTTTTTCAGGAAGACTTATTTTGCTGTAAGATTTTGGTAGTGATACAAAAGAAGAAAAACCCCAATCTCAGTTTTACTTGGATTCTTAAATTTCTACTTTCTGCCATTGATCATGAAGTCTTGTCTTTAGCTAAATGGGCCAATTTTGATATTCAAAGTGAGGCTGTCTTCAGCAAGATCAGCCGCTGTCACTCATTACTGTCAGTGGTGCTAAAGGTACAAGTTGCGTTTCAGCTGGCTGACACATCTGTTTTATAGATAAAGATGAAGAAAATTTCCCATTGTTTCCACTGCAATTACAGTCAGCCTACCCTGAGAGAAGATATTTTTGGTTATTCTGTGAGTGCTAGGGAGGGACAAGAGAATGGAGAGATGCCAGACATGGAAATGTGTAAGTGACAGAGGAAGGAAATTTATTGTGAACAAAGAAACATCACTTCAAAGAGATGGGAGCTTGTGGAGAGTAATAAACTCATTTTTGAGGTGCAAAGAAATGGGATGGGAGTAGATGAAACGAGGAAAATGGAACGAACTACCAGGAAGCAAGATATGGAGCGAGGAAGGAGTAGAGGTGGGGAAGAGTATGCCCAAGATTGTGAAGAGGAATGTATGGAGAATATAGATCTATATATTTTAATGTGAACTAGTACAAGCCAGTTCCACAAATTTTTGCAGGGCCTAGCTCATGATGTTTGGTCTTAGCAGCACTGTTCATGCTTGTATAAGTTTTTTTTATTCTTATGTCTTTTTTTATTCTTATGTCTTTTTTTATTCTTATGATTTTTTTTCTTTCATTATGGCACTGGTAATTTTGCAGAAGTAGATGAGTCTGGTTAAGGTTTATGTAATCTAGGGAGCGAGGGGAAAACACTCATCTGTATCTAGCTTGCATGCTCATCACTAGATGCTGTTTGCAGGATGGGAGAAAAGGATATTAACTAACAGATCACAGCATTGCTATTCTAAATGTCTTGATACTCTACATATGTCATGTTTTAGGAAAACAATTAATTGCATTCTTTCAAATTGCGTATTACACCTGGGGTTTCTTTTAATTTTTCCATGTGAAACCATGATGCTGAAAGATCATAAGTGCACTTGGAAAGGATTGAAGGATGAGTGGCACATTTAAATACATTGCAGAATCTTTAAATGGCTTTTTTTTCCTTTAAAAAAGATTGCCAAGTCTAAGTGTAGACAGGAGGTTTTCATGTCTTCTGTGGTATAATAAAACAATATTCATAGATTGTATACTTTAAAGATATCTGATTATCAGTATATCGAAGCCCAGAAGTGTACATCTATAATAATTTGCATATCCAATTACTATAGTTGTGCATTCAGGTTAAGCTTTTGCACATTACATTGGGGTTCTCAGTTTTACTTATGTCCTGGGGTTCTGAGCCTAGATCGACAACTGTATGTTGCCATAGCTGAAATGAAGTGGAACCTGTAACTAATTACACCATTTAAGGATACTTATCTGAACTTTGGAAAATAAACTTCCTGTCACTAGGAATTTTGGGGTTCCTATGTCAATGTGGGGTAAAAAATCAATGTTTTGGTGAAATAATAAAATCCTCTGTATGGCAGGTCATCTTATCTTTCCAATAAGACACTTTTTGCAAGCTATTCAGAGGTTTATGAACAGTGGCTCTTAACATGTTTAGATTCAACGCAGCCCTTTGAAAATACAAGCTCTTAGCTTTCACTCATAGAATTCTAGAATCATAGAAAAGTAAGGCTGGAAATGAACTCTGGAGGTCATCTAGTCTAATCCTCTCTGCCTGAAGCAGGATCACCCCAACCACATCTTTGTTTAACTTGTTACTAAAAGTGGACAGGCTATCTTGTCACATGGCCACAAAGCCTTAAAACACAAACCTGCTATAGTAGGGGGCCAGTGGTGGCCTATGTCCTGCTGTTTCAAGGGTTGTTAAAATACTTATGGTAGATCCAAGAAAGAGGGGCATGCCCCCTTTGCAGAGTAAGGCAAAAAACCTCAAAACCCCTACCAATCTGACCATGGTGTTTTTTTGACTATGGAAAAATAATAGAGCAAATCTCCTGTTGCAAAGAACTTAAAAGACAACCGCAGAATGTCAGAATGTTTCTAACACTGTGGATTCCTATTTGAAATCTCCGGGTTTAGCTTATGAATCATGTGTAGGTGTTTGTGTGACACCCTAGGCCCACGGCATCCTTAAAAATGATCACATGGCACCCTTGTTGAGAATCAGTGGCTTAGAACAGTGCCCTAAACTTCAGTGGGGAGGAATTTAGTGAGTAAACTTAAGGTGAAGCTGTCAAAAGTGTAACAGATGCCACTGGATATTGTCACTGTGTCTGTGGAATGATTGATTATTTTCTATTAGTAATAAAAGACTTTAGAGATTTGATTTTAAAAAAATCACTTTCCTAGAGAATTCTTATTTTTTAGAGAGACAAACACCCAATATGTGCATTTCAATAAGCAATTGAATAAAACCTTAAGTTTTGCCGATATGTATTTTTATATTTGTCTCCTCAGGACAACTATACCTTTGCACAGCCAGGGATTCAGAAGAAAGTGAAAATGTTGGAAGAACTTATTCGTCGGATTGATGGTAAGTCTTAAAAGCTAACTCCCGGAGTCTAAGTGCTGCTTCATCAACAGTGTTTAGTTAAAAGCTTTGTGAGCAGTCCAGCCAATATCAGTGTAGTTATCTACCATGACAGTGTAACACAGCCTTTCTCAGACGAAGTGTCATACTCAATCAACCTGTGGCATAGTGGCTTTTGCAAGATCAGTGCTGTGTATCATTTAAAGGAAAGCCACTAGAGCATGAGCCACTTTCATTACTTTTTATTAAGGCAATATAATCAAAATTCAATGGCAATCTCTTTGCAGCAGAGTAATGGTCATATACAAAAGGCAGCCAGCATTCATTTTGCATTAAGCTCAATGATTGTTGTAATTCGGCAGAGTCAGTGATTGTTTATGGTTGTCCTTCGGCACTATGTTTTGTGCCTTTGTGCATCGTTTTGTTATCAAGAATGCCTGAATAATTTCTCTGTGGAATCCAATTAATTACTAACTCTGGAATTAACATCTTTAATATTATAGATAATTTACAGTGTGTTGGGGCTAATTTTAGATTATGCTTTCATGTTGTAGCAGAACACTTTGAAATATTTTCTACCTTCATCCTTAAAATAATACTCTTCATGAAATGCTGACTGTCACATTGCTATAGCAGAGTTTAATTAAATGAAATTCAAGAGATAATACTTGCCCATTCTAAACATATTCTCCTGATAGTTTGCTAAATTAATGAACAGAGCATTAACAAAGTGATGCCAAGCAGAACTAAGCATATATTTGTGACACTAGCCTGTCAATGATGAGATGGGGGACAAATATATCTTAAATAGCTTAATACTGGATAACCGTCTTGAAAAGATGATTTCTGCCTTTTCATTTTACATATTGTAAGCTTTTCCTGCACCAGTGCTTACTACAGCATATTTTATCTTTGTTTGCACATATTTACATTTTGAATACTTGACATATTTTCTAGGTGCCTTTTTAGGGTCATAACAAATAATGTTTATAAAATAGCAAACAAAATTGATTCTATTTAAAGACTTCCAGTGGTGGAAAAAATGACACAGACCCATTCTTAGAAAATATGTATTGAATATATAAAAGAGTGCATTGCTTGTTTTAGGAAGCTGTGTTGGTGCAAGTATATTTATTTATATGAGCATAATTAAGTTTATGTAACACACCAAGTTTTATGGTACAAAATCAGTGCATTTAAGGTGGGAAGAATACTTTTTCAGTACCTTATGCTTGTGTGGCAAGCAAGTTGACATTGCAGTATTTGGAAATATACAGATAAATAATTTTTTAAAATTATATTTCTGCTGAGTTTTTTCCCAACCTTTAAAAAAATGTGTGTTCTGAACATGTTTGCGCTTCATGATTATTTTAAGAGTTATATTGGGGGTTAGTGTGCTGATTCCAAACATTTGTAGAACCACATTTGTATAGACTCCTATTCTGAAGCATTTTAGATATTAATAATACCTAAACTGATAGACTTCTTATATCTTAACAGTTAAACATTTTTTCTAGGCTAGTTCTTCAGTCCCTAATGTTTTTCTAACCATTTTGTACAGTAAATGTTCAGTTTTGGATATTAAGATATTGAACATTATTTTATTGGATAAATATTTTAGGGTTTTTTTTGGAAAAATATTTGTTTATCCTCCTAGGAATAAAAGAGCTCATTTTTGCCATCAGTGCTTTAATGGGGATGGTTGAATGATTTTTTGCATGTGGATTATTCATTCTTCTTCAGTTTTGCCAATTGGCTTTAACAGATTTTCTAGTGAATAAATCCTGCTCATTAATCTGTCCTTTGCCAGGTCTGCAAATTGCAAGTGAAATGTGAGTTGCAGGTGTTTTTGCCTAATTTAAATATTTTGGTGAGCTCTTTAACTTCCTCATACAAAATGCTGTTAAAATACTGCAGCCAGGAAGCATAATCCCATGAACAATCGTCTCCTTATCTTCTTGATCTGGAATATGTCCATTTTTCATCAGTCGATGGTCAACCTATGCTGTGTTTGAATTTATGTAACATTTAGTAAATATCTGCATGTGTACACACACTCTGCCAGTAGTGTACCAGCATAGTGTCATTTACTTTGAGCCACACTATACATCAATATTTTTCCTGTAAATTTCTATAACAGTAAATGTGTGTTTAGTATTAAGATGCCAAAGACTATTCCTTTTGTATAGTAGAAGTATCAAGGTTGATAAGTCTGAGAATCCAACAGATATTAATCTCTTTAATACTGTTATTTAAACAGAAATAAATTATGTTAGTTTAATATTAATAAAGTTATGTGGTTAACTTTATGCAGTCTATACATTTATTCAGTTGAACATTGTTTTCTTGAAATTCAGCAAAAGAACACTCATTTCAGGTTTTTTTTTAAAAGAAAGATGCTAAACACATCTGAGAAGTATAAATTGCTGCTTGCCTTAATATACGAAGAAATATACAATTAGAAAGCCTAGGTCCTGCTGAGATTTAATGGACCTATGCTTCCATTCAGAATCATTATCAGTACTGTATGCATATACTGTAAAGCACGTTTAAAAGTATTTTTAAAAGCATCCATCATTATTTGCAAGGCATGCTGTGCTACCCGTTGGGGACAGATTTGAGCATCAGAAAACAATCCAAACTTAGGTATGTTAAGTGTCCTGACTCATGTAATACAAGTTCTTTTGTTCTCTTATCACCTTTCTTTGGCTGATTTGTATAGCTACATTTGCGTCAGCTTTGAAGGAAGTAAATTGACATATATTTTATGATAAAACGAAGATAATTTTATGAAGAAAGCTAAGAAGTGCATCAGAAAAAATAAATTGAAAATGACAGTTTGCTGATTGTAAGCACACCTCTAACTGCATCTGTATTGATACAGAATGACCAGTTCAGACTTTCTGATGGGAGTAGAAGATTGGGAAAATTATGCTCAAGTAGAGATCCCAATTAGTGGGGTGGGAAGAGGCTGAGAAGTTAGATTTTTAAACTGGGGAGCATCTCATAAAGCAACCTGAAATAAAACTAACCTTTCAAGTTGCATTTATATTACTGTAGGGGTTGTAGCCTTGTTTGGCTCACCTGTGGTGATCCTTTTGGGAATAGGCCCTTCTGTAGGTGGGGACAGGTTGGGCTGTCCAGTCATCCTCTCCTTGGCTTTGCCTTCACAGAGTCCTTCAGGCCAATTGTTGATTTGCTCCACGATCTGAGAGGAATTCTTTGAATAAGGTTTGAGTCTGTGACTTCCAGAAAGCTAATCATTTCTTCTTGTACTCACCAGATAAGTTTCTTGCCCTTACGTCATCTCACCAGGGCTTTCAGAACCTGGTTTGACATGTAGCAGGAAATTAAGCAATCAATTTAAACTATAATAAGGTAGATTAAAACTTAAAAGGGGGCTAGATTTTTATTACTGTCAGAACAGTGGAACAAGCTGCCCAAGGAGTTTGTAGAAATTGCTTCATTGGAGGCTTTCAAGCAGAGGCTGGATAAGCATTCATTTGGGATTGTTTAGAAATAGCACATCTTGCATTTGTGCAGGCAGCTGGACTGTATGACCCTTGATGTACCTTCCAACCTTATTATATGAGCCAAGTCCTTCAGCCCTCACTAGAGGAAGTCAGTGATCATCTTTATAGGTTGGTATATGTACTACAGCACTATGACCCTGCTAAATGAGATATTGTACCTAACCATGTTGATCTAGAAGACTCTGGCTTCTTTCTCTGCACCTGAAAGGAAAGTAGCTAAGAAGTATCAAGTTCTTCTATGGAATCTGAGTATTGTTACATGCATCTGGTGTCCTGCTGTTTCGTGTTACCTTTGGCAAACAAGATAACTAGGCTGTTCTGCACTTTTTCAAAAGAATAAAAGCCAAAATGTGTTGATTTCTCTGACCCTAAGTTTGTTTGTTTGTTTTTTTTTTTGGGGGGCGAGCCGGTCCCGTCTTTGTGCGCACAGGCTG